AATACCGATACTTCAAGGGTAAATAAGTAATAATTGGGGTGTGGGTATCGATACTGGTTGAATAGTATCGACACCATAAGCTAAAATTTGACATGTTATTCAAGGGGTATTGATACCTAAAGGGGTAGTATCGATACCAAGGGTACCAATAGCATTAAGCTAGTATCGGTACCATTTTTGAAATAAGGATTATAGAATCGAAAATGGGTATCGATACCCAAGCTCGGTATCAATACCACAGCTAGGGAAGTATCGATACTATTCAAAAGTGAAAATTTGAATTAAGCCTTTCTTTTAGCTTAAGTTATTAAGGATCGAATTATAATACCTAGGATTCTGATATGCATATTAAATTTATGATTATGTAGATATCGAGCCTAAGCAAGTTCAGGAATAATCGAAGAGTTAGAAACGGTTGAGAGAGAGAAAAAGTCATAGAATTAATTCAAATCAAATGAGGCTAAGGTGAGTGCATATCATAGTTAGGATAAATGTTGTTTTATGGAAATAAGACTTGTGATAAGTCTATTTTCTATATTTGATTTCAAGATTCCATATTCATGTACATGGATATGTTAGGATTATAATGAGTAGATGTATAACTTATACATGCTTTAATATGATATGATATGTGATGTATGCAAAAATAAGAGAACAAATCTAAGCTATATGTTATAAGATAAGTGATCATATGTATACATGTGAAATATGAGATGTGGTTATATGTGAAATGATAGAAGAGATATGAAAATATGGAACGTATCAATATTTAAGCACATGTTATGTGATATGAGAGCCGTAGATATAATTGGCATGCCAAGATTCGAGGGTTCTATGTGGTCCTTCGAGATATATATGTATTCATTTGGAACATATATGCGGTTCTTCGGGACATATATGTGGTCCTTCAGGACAAAGTCTATGTGCCCCTAGTGGGAGTTTACACGAGATGTGGTGACAACATATGTGAACAACCTCAATGTACTCACGTACCTCAGGTTCTTAGTAATGTACACGGGCATACAAAAGATAAACCGAATGAAATACTTCATAAGAGGATATGTATTATTTGTACATTCCATGATTTTGTATGTTACGGTTGAGTAAGTATATGGAGATTATAATTTCATGTAGAGAATTATAGGATCGCATGTTATATTATGCCTCACTAAGTGTGTGACTTAGCGTGTGAGTGTTTCACACGTAGGCACCAAGAAACAGGAAGACCAGAGTTGAAGTCTAGGAAGGCAGCATCTCTTTGGAAGACGATTAGGTCATAAGTGATTTAAAATAGTATGCCATTTTGTTATAGTAATTATGTTGGCATGTAATAACATTTTAAATCATATATGCTCTAATCGATGTTGTAATCATTTTGATGGTATTTGTGTAAATTATTTCACAGTTGTTTTAATAAAATTTTAAATTTTATGAGATTTTGTAAAAGTAAACATTTTAAAAAGTCAATGTGACACCTAAGATTCGTATCTGGGTCAAGTACGGGTTGAGAGTGTTACATTTAATGGTATCAAAGCTAAGTTTTAGCCGATTCTAGGCATAAACCGAAGTTTATAATGTCTTTAAATGTATACAAGCTAACAAAATAGTGAGAACTTCTGATCTGATAGAATTATGAGTATGTTGTCTTGCTAATAGAACTATATGGTTATGTGTTATTAGATATCCGGACAAGATAGCTCCCAAAGTGAAACGGGAGATGATAGGCCCACTGAGAGTAGCAATTCATCTATTCTGGCCAGGCAAGGTGAATAACAGACACCTTTTGGAGTGCTTGTAAAAGATCAAGACATTTTCTTTAGGACGATGGATGATATTCTGATGCTTTTCCAACCTCCTTCCTCCTTAACTCAAAGAATGAATGTTGTGAAGGAGTTAAAGGGATTAAGAGCTCCAGAATTTAAGGGTGAAGTCGAGGAAGGTCATGTTGTTGTGGACATTTGGCTTAATGATATGAAGATAATGCTTGATGGGATCCACTGTTCTGATGTGGAGAAGCTGGATGACGTGGTCTCCTTGCTCCGAGGGTAATCGAGAATATGGTGGACCAATGTTATCCTGAGGATGACCAGTGATCAGGTTACTTGGTATATAAAAGATCAGTTTGTTCGACAGATGAAACAAGAGATTATGAATTTGAACCAATAGAATTGCACGGGTATGAATATGAGTGTGAGTTCAACAAGTTAAGTTGCTTTGCTGCCAAACTTATTCCGACGGAGAAGGATGCTTGTGAGTGGTTTATGGAGGTATAACATCCTCGATTAAAAGAGATGTTGACTGTGTTGAATCTTTCCTTATTCCAAGAAGTAGTTAATCGTGCTAAAGCTCTGGAAATAGCTCAGAATGAAAGCTTTGGAGATCAAAGAGCTTAAAAGTCTAAAAGAACGTGTTCTTTTTCTAGATTCTGGTTCTCGACCCTAGGCGAGATATGAGTTAGTTGCATCCTCTGCTAGAGGATCAAATTCGATGAGAGCTAGACAGACTCAGTCTGTAGGATCTGGAACTGGGAGAGCTAACTAGGGACAATCTAGACAGTGTCAACATTGAGGAAAAAAATTATCATGGGTTATGTAGAATGGTTTCTGGAGCTTGTTTCAAATGTAGGGACACTAAACATTTTATCCGGGATTGTCCAATGATGATCGGGGAGCCTGCACAGTCGGAGCGGTCTGTTTCGATGACTCAGAGAGGAAAGGGAAGAGGTAGAGGAAGAGGTCAACCTAAATCCTCTACTCAATAGGAGATATGCTCAACTGCTTGGGCTTATAATCTAAAGACTAATGACAATTGAGATGACCTAGAGATTATAGCATGTATTTTTCAATTATATGATAAGCGTGTTTTAGTATTGATTGATCTAGGTTATACATATTCTTACATTAGTAGTAAATTGATGAGGGAATTAAAAATTCAGTTAGATGCTACTAGTAGTGATGTGGTAGTGACAAATCTATTAGGGCATAGTGCTCGGGTAAATAAAGTGTGTCGGGGGTGTCCCATACAGATTCAGGGAATTGAATTCCCTGTTAATCTGATGGAATTACCCTTTGACAAATTCAAAGTGATACTGGAATGGACTGGTTATATCGTTATCATGCTAAATTCGATTGTATACAGAAGAAGGTAAACATTGATCAATTCAGAAGGTTTGGAAGTTATAATATTTAGTGAAAGATGGAATCCATTGGCAAATGTGATATCAGTGATGTCAGCAAAGAAGTTACTACTACAAGGATGTCAGGGTTTCATTGCTAATTTGCTGGATATTAGAACCAATGAGAAAGGGATTTAAAAAATTCCCATAGTCAGAGAGTTCCCAGATGTCTTTCGTGTAAAGTTGCCAGGTTTACCTCCAGATAGAGAAGTTGAATTTCAAATTGAGATATTGCTGGAACAACGCCTATTGCAATGGCACCATACAGAATGGCTCCAAAAGAGTTACAGGAGTTAAAGATTCAGTTACATGAATTGTTGGATAAAGGATTTATTAGGCCAAGTGTATCGCCCTGGGGAGCTCCAGTGTTGTTTGTCAAGAAGAAAGATGGTTCAATGCGTCTTTGTATTGATTATAGGCAGCTTAATAAGGTGATTATAAAGAATAAATATCCCCTCCCTAGAATTGACGATTTGTTTAATCAGTTAAAGAGAGCTTCAGTTTTCTCTAAGATCGATTTGCGGTCTGGATATCATCAATTAAATATTCATGAGAAAGATATTCTAAAAATGGCTTTTAGAATGAGATATGGTCACTATGAGTTCATTGTTATATCGTTTGGGGTTATAAATGCACCTGCTGCTTTTATGGACCCGATGAATAGAATGTTTCAACCCTATCTGGACAAGTTCGTAGTGGTTTTCATTGATGATATATTAGTGTATTCGAAGTCGGAAGAAGAGCATAGTACTAATCTGAAGATAGTTTTGCAGATTTTACGGGATAAGAAACTATATGCCAAATTATCTAAATGTGAGTTCTGGTTGAATAAAGTGACATTCCTTGAACATGTAATTTCTGCAGAAGGAATTCGAGTTGATCCCTAAAAGATAAAATCCATTCTAGAATAGGAAGTTCCAAAGAATGTTTCGGAAGTTCAAAGTTTTTTAGGCTAGCAGGTTATTATCGAAGGTTCATTAAGAACTTTTCGATGATAGCTTTACCCTTAACTAGGTTGATGAGAAAATATGTAAAATTTGCTTGGTCTCTGGAATACCAAGAAAGTTTTGAAATGTTGAAGAAAATTTTGATAGAATCTCCAATATTAGTTCAACCTGAGTCTGGTAAGAACTATGTGGTTTACAGTGACACGTCCCATAACGACTTGGGATGTGTACTAATTCAAAAAGGCAAAGTAGTGGCTTATAAGTCTAGACAATGGAAACCATATGTAAAGAAGTATCCAACGAATGATTTGGAGTTGGCTGTAGTAGTGTTTGCTCTTAAGATTTGACATCACTACTTATATGGTGAACGTTGTTACTTGTACACATATCATAAGAGCTTAAAGTATCTGATCACCCAGAAAAAGTTGAATTTAAGGCAGAGGAGATGGATTGAATTTATAAAGGATTATGATGTGGTAATCGATTTCCATCCTGGAAAAGCAAATGTGGTAGCGGATGCTTTAAGCCGAAAAACGTTTGCAGCCTTACGAGCTCTAAATGACAGGTTGTCATTAGATGCAGAGTGTGCAATATGTACAAAATTTAATCTTAAACCAACATGGTTGATTCAAATTAAATAATTGCAAAACAAAGATGAAAAGTGTTTGAAGAAGTTGCAACAAGTAAAGAATGAGGAGATGAAAGATTATGAGATCAAGTCTGATGGAAATCTATATTATCGATGGAGATTGGTAATTTTAGATGATGGTGAATTGAAGAATGATCTGTTAACAGAAGCTCACTGTAGCCCATTAACAATGCACCCTGGTGGAAACAAAATGTATATGGATCTCAAAAGTCGATATTGATGACCGAGAATGAAGAGGAATGTTACGAAATTTGTATCCAAGAGTTTAACTTGCCAGCAAGTTAAAGCTGAGCATCAGGTTCCATCAGGACTATTGCAACAAATGTCTATTCCTCAATGGACATGGGAGAATATGAAGATGGATTTTGTGACGGGGTTGTCATTGACTCTGAACAAAAGAGATTTGGGTGATCGTGGATAGATTAACCAAGTTAGCTCATTTTATTCATGTACGAGTTGATTTCTACATGGATAAGTATGTTGAATTGTATATCAGGGAGATTATACGATTGCATGGTGTACATGTTTCAATTATTTCTGATCGGGATCCTAGATTCACATCAAGGTTTTGGAAGACTTTACATGGAGCGTTAGGAACTTGATTGAACTTTAGCATAACATTTCATCCTCAAACCAATGGATAGTCCGAGCGGACTATCCAAATTCTAGAAGATATGTTAAGAGCTTTTGTGATCGAGTTTAAAGGATCTTGGGAAAAGTACTTGCCACTTGCCAAATTTGCTTACAATAATAGCTACCATTCAAGTATCCAGATGGCTCCCTATGAGGCTTTATATGGGAGAAAGTGTCGTATGCCCTTGAATTGGTACAAGCTGAAAGATCGAGAAGTTTTTGGTCATGAGTTGATTCAGGAGGTGGAAGAGAAAGTTCAAGTGGTTCAAAATAATCTTAAAGCAGCACCGGATAGACATAAATCATATGTTGATCTTAAAAAGAAATAGATTGAATTTCAAGTTGAAGATAAAGTGTTTCTAGAGGTATCTCCTTGGAAGAAGATGTTAATATTTGGATGAAAAGGAAAGCTTAGTTCCCAGTTTATTGGACCCTATGAGATCATTAAGAGAGTAGGACAAATGACATATCAATTAGCTTTTCCACCTGAAATGGAGAAGATTCATGATGTTTTCCACGTTTCAATGCTTCGGAGATATAGATCCGAGCATTCTCATATTGTGACACAAGAAGAACTAGAAGTTCGTCCTGATCTGACTTATCAGGAAGAATCGATACAAATTTTGGCTCATGAAATGAAACAGTTACGAAACAAGATGATTCCATTGGTTAAGGTGTTATGGAGGAATCACAAGGTAGAGGAAACAATGTGGGAACGTGAAGAGGACATGAGGAATCAGTACCCCCATCTCTTTGTGCAATGAAAATTCGAGGACAAATTTCTAAAGGGGAGATTTGTAACATCCTAAACACCGGGTGAATTTTTGGGTTTTAAGAATGATTTATGGGCTATAATTATCGGTACTGCTTAATCCAATACCGATACTTCAAGGGTAAATAAGTGATAATTGGGGTGTGGGTATCAATACTGGTTGAACATTATATATATCATAAGCTAAAATTTGACAAGTTATTCAAGGGGTATCGATACCAAGGATACCGATACCATTAGGCCAGTATAGGTACCATTTTTTGAAATAAGGATTACATAATCGAAAATGGGTATCGATACCACAGCTAGGGAAGTATCGGTATCATACCTTGGGTACTGATACTACTCAAAGTGAAAAATTGAATTAAGTCTTTCTTTTAGCTTAATTTATTAAGGATCGAATTATAATACCTAGGATTCTGATATGCATATTAAATGTATGATTATATATATATCGAGCCTAAGCAAGTTTCGAAACAATCGAAGAGTTAGAAATGGTCGAGAGAGAAACAAAGTCATAGAATCGATTCGAATCAAATGAGGCTAAGGTAAGTGCATAACATAGTTAGGATAGATGTTGTTTTATGGAAATAAGACTTATGATAAGTCTATTTCCTATATTTGATTTCATATCCATGTACATGCATATGTTATGATTATAATGAGTACATACATAACTTATACATGCTTTAATATGATATGATATGTGATGTATGCAAATATAAGAGAATAAATCTAAGCTATATGTTATAAGATAAGTGATCATATGTGTACATGTGAAATATGAGATGTGGTTATATGTGAAATGATAGAAGAGATATGAAAATATGGAACGCATCAATATTTAAGCCCATGTTATGTGATATGAGAGCTGTAGGTATAATTGACATGCCAAGATTCGAGAGTTATATGTGGTCATTCGGGATATATATGTAATCCTTTGGAACATATATGCGGTTCTTCGGGACACGTATTTGATCATTTGGAATATATATATATGATCCTTAAGGAGTGGTCATTTGGGACATTTATGTGGTCATTCGGGATATATATGTGGTCCTTCGGGACAAAGTCTATGTGCCCCTATTGGGAATTTATACAAGTTGTGGTGATAGCATATGTGCACAACCTCAATATACTCATGTACCTCAGGTTCTCATTAATGTACATGGGCATACAAAAGATAAACCGAATTAAATACTTCATAAGAGGATATGTATTATTTGTACATTCCATGATTTTGTATGTTACGGTTGAGTAAGTATGTGGAGATTGTAAATTCATGTGGTTATATTATGCTTTATTAAGTCTATGAATTAGCATGTGAGTGTTTCACACGTAGATACCAAGAAACAGGAAGACAAGAGTTGAAGTCTAGGAAGACAGAATCTCTTTTAAAGACGATCAGATCAGAAGTGATTTAAAACAATATGTCATTTTGTTATAGTAATTATGTTGGCATGTAATTACAGTTTAAATCATATATGCTATGATCGATGTTGTAATCATTTTGAGGGTATTTATGTAAATTATTTCACTGTTGTTTTAATAAAAGTTTAAATTGTATTAGATTTTGTAAAAGTAAACGTTTTAAAAAGTCAATATGACACCTCGGATTCGTATCCGGGTTGGGTACGGGTTGGGGGTGTTACAGTTTTCTTTCTTGAGTTCTTATTATGATCAAGTATATGGTCGGACGCCCTATTTGTCCCTGACTTAATTGCTCAATCAGAATTCATTTCTTAGGACCCATCTGTTAACTGAAACATTAATAGCTTGTTTATGAACATAGGCTCTTTTTGTCTTTATATCTTGCCCCTGACACTTTAAGTGGAGAGGCTCATTCTCAGCACCCTCTGTATCCAAATCTTGCTATCTTAACATAAATTATATTTTTTAGGCATGCCCCAATATGAATATTTCATGGCTCATCCTTATTTGAATAGTAAGGATTTTGACTTCCAATGACCTCATTCGCGTGTCATTAATTAACAACCAATGATTTCAATCTTGGGTCAACAAAAATATCATTAAAATCTTCTTCTTCTTTTTATTATGATCGAATAGTTTGAGGGCTTTTCTTTGTGAGGTATCAAAACTGATAATGATGAATTGAAGAAAGATGTTCTTTATGAAGCACATTATAGCCCTTTGACGATGCATCCAGGCAGAAATAAGTTGTATCAAGATTTAAAAAGTCGTTATTGGTGGACTCGTATGAAAAGAGTTGTATTGGAGTTTGTGGCAAAATGTTTGACATGTCAGTAAGTGAAAGTTGAACATCAAGTACCCTCAGGATTGTTTCAACCGATATCCATTCCTGAGTGGAAGTGGGAGAGAGTTACCATGGATTTTGTTTCAGGGCTACCTTTATCTCCAGGCAAAAAGTTATCCATATGATTAATTATAGATCGATTGACCAAGACAACTCATTTTATTCCAGTTCGAGTAGATTACTCGATGGATAAGTATGTAGAGTTATATATGAAAGAAATAGTAAGACTGCATGGAGTGCCTATATCAATAGTATCTGATCGGGACCCAAGGTTTACTTCAAGGTTCTGGAAGTCATTATATGAGACATTGGGTACTCGATTGAAGTTTAGTACAACTTTTCATCAGCAGACAGATGGGTAGTTAGAACGAGCTATCCAGATACTCGAGGATATGCTAAGGGCATATATGATTGAGTTTAATGGATCATGGGAAAAGTATTTTCCTTTAGCAAAATTTGTATATAATAACAGTTATCAATCGAGCATTAAGATGGCCCCGTATGAAGCTCTGTATGGGAGAAAGTGCCGAACATCATTAAATTGGTTTGAATTTAAAGACCAAGACCTAGTTGGGTCGGAATTAATTAAAGAAATGAAGGAGAAAGTAAAGATTATTCAGGGTAATTTAAAGATAGCTTCCGATCGGCAGAAATCTTATGCTGATTTGAAATGAAAAGAAATCGAATTTCAAGTAGAAGATAAAGTTTTCCTGAAGGTGTCTCCTTGGAAGAAAGTTTTAAGATTTGGGCGTAAAGGAAAGCTGAGTCCGAGATTCATTGGACCTTATGAATCTTGGAAAGGGTCAGACCAGTAGCATACCAATTAGCTTTGCCTCCGGATATAGATAAGATCCATAATGTTTTTCACGTATCGATGCTCATAAGGTACCGATCAGATCCATCCCACATTATCACACCAGAGAAGATAGAGATCCGATCAGATCTAACTTATTAAGAAAAACCAGTACGGATCTTGGCTAGAGAAATCAAGGAATTGCGCAACAAAAAGATTCCTTTAGTTAAAGTACTCTGACAGAATCATAGGGCTGAAAAAGCTACTTGGGAAAGAGAGGAGGACACGAGAATACAGTTTCCATACCTCTTCATTCTAGGTATTTATTTAAATTTGAGGATGAATTTTCTTAAGGGGAGAATTGTAATACCCCAAATATCATATAAGAGACTATATTAAAAAGATTTAAAAATTTAAGACTTTATTTGAATAAGTGGTAAAAGATGAGAAAATGATTTGAAATAGTTTTTAGACTAATTTGTATCAATATATAAATTAAGAGGGCACTTTGGTCTTTTAAAGGGGAGAATGGATTTAAAAATATATTCTTATTAGAGATTTTAAATATGAGAAAAGAAGAAAGTAAGGCATTTTATATTCTTCTTCTTCTTCATATGGGTAGTGCTCTCCTCCATGTTATAAGGTAAACTTCAAGTTGTTAGTTATTCCTTTAAATTTTGGGTTGCTTTGGTAACATTAAGTGATATGTAAGCTTAAGGAAGGATTAAAGAAGATTAAAACTAAGTGGTGGATGTTGTATATGAGATTTAAGCAAATGGGTTTTTGAACGATATGCTGATATATGTGTTTTTATTGAGGTTTATTAGTATAATTGACTTGTCAAAGGATTGAATAAGGGATTAGAAGCATGAGATATGTTTAAAACATGTTTAGAAAAATGTTATGATTCTTGAGTTGAGATGTTCCATGAAGATGTTAGAGGTTAAAGGTGGAAAAATGAAGTAAAGTTAGTTGGCTTAAGTAAAGAGGAGTTTAATAGTATTGTTGGAGGTAAAAGTATAAGATTAGAGGGAAAATTAAGTGAAAATCGAGCTGAAAAATGGTAAATCTGGGTAATGGTATTGGTACTGATAGAACAATACCGATACTATAGGTGTAAATAGGTAGAAATGTGACGAACAATATCAATACTGATGCAATTGGTATCGATACTGATGGGGTATCGATACTACCAAGGGGAAGTATCGATACCATGGATCCAAAATGTCAAAATGGTATCGATACTGAAAGGAAGTATCGATACCATAGTATAGTAGTATCGATACTGAGAGAAGGGTATCGATACCATGCCACAAATAATATGGAAATGGTATCGCTATTGAAATGGGGTATCGGTACCATAGTATAGAAGTATCGATACTAGGGTAGTAGTACTGATACTAATAAGCTTGGAATTTCAAGACAGGTTGAAATTGTTATAGAAATTGAAATAATGATATTTTTAATCTTATTAGAGTATAATATTAAA